GATATATTGATTGAACATATGCTTGTGTTGAGTAATTCAGTGGGTTCCGATTCATCTGATTGTCGGTTAATTTTATAGTTGTCGCATTGTGTGAATCATCTTGTAATGTTTTTGTAAGTACTTCTGAATTCGCTTCTAAACTTGTGAACGAATCGAGTAGAGTTAGAGTCAGCGTACGCGATTGGATACGCCGGGGAGAGGATTGGGCTAGAGTGGAATGAAGCAATCGATACTTTGTGAACGAGATCAGTGGTGGTATTGTCGTCAGACAGCGTAGACCCCATGCGCCGGGGAGAGCGTGTCGGTGTGATGTGGTATGTCTGCTGTGTGTTGGGCTTTTTTGTCTTGCTTTTCCAATTTTAGCCTAGTCCCGATTGGCCCAGGTTCCCACATTGGCAGTTCAGTTCAAGGTTACCGCCGTTGTGGAAAAAAGGGATGGACCCTTTTTTGCCGGGGAGTGTCAATGGAAGTGAACATTGAACGTTTGTTTTATTGGAACTGGCAACCATTGGCGGCCAATTGAAGGCGCGAATGGAACGATCGCTTGCAAGTTGAAGGAAGACTGGATTTCAATACGAATAAAAGTACTTTATAACTTTATTTGTACTTAACATTTGTTTGCAGACTTTGTAGTTGTCTTCACTTTAATTGCCAAACAATATAATTTCGTTCGAGGAATATTGGTGTTTTGGATTTAAAGTTGAAGAAATACATAGTGTTTATCGGTTCAATCGCTTAAGTCTTCGTTACAATAGGAACTTAGGGCTAAGTTCCTTGACAAGCGCTCTAATTCTATTATTACATTAAAGCAACCTACAGTAAAAATAAGATTTAACCAATTTGGTGCAATATAACTAACTACATTTTAGATTTATTTATCTGGTATGATAGAAAGTGATGTATTACACCTAAATGGATGACACAATTCGATATCAGATCACACTATAACAAAAGCTGCCAAAAAATGAACTTCTATCTACGGTAATTGGTAACACCTGGAAACTCAACCTGTAAGGGCATTCGATTGTAATCTGTTCAGATTTTTTGACACAAAAGTCCGATAGAACAAGACTGAATGTTTTCGAGGAAAGCACCAAGATTAGAGAGTCTAACACAATAGTAGAACAGAAGCTATACGAGGAAAGGAAACCTCGTACACCATTCAGCTACTGGAACACGACTCCTCCTCAATGCCCCCCAATGAATTCTAACTTCTACTGACTCGTGTTTTTAGCGTGACCATTAGTCAGTGTCATCGGTGGTGAATATTTGTCCTCACTTCAGACCGGGTGGACTCCACTGGTCACGACATCTCACTGGAACTCCAAGCAACTCTGTCGTGTATCAGTTAGAGAAGTGATGAAAACCAGCCGGGAGTACTGAACAGCTATTTCCCCCCAGTTTGGGACTCTTCATCGGCAGTACACACCCACTGCCAAGGTCCGAACCCAGAACCTTCCGGTTACAAGGCAATATCGTAGACCATACAACCACCCAGACCCAACCCAATGGCCAATAAATTTCAACTTGTGCCATTAGAATCTTACACATTAGTAAGTTATGTTTAGATTCATGAAAGGCAAAATCTTTGGAATGCTATTAGGAGAAAAGTGAGTTGGAATTGATATGACCTCACTAGTCTAGGAACTCAACCACTAGCCAGTGCGTCACAGGTTCGAATCCCACACCACCTATTGAGGTTCAAGCAGCTAGGCATTATTACCAGCCAAGTGCACGGGATTTCAATTGGTCGCTGAGTAAGTGATAATACTGTGGTGAGGGCTGGCTGCTAGCCAAAATTGGTCGATAGTTATTTACGTCAATGTGTACGTGAGAAAATATAAGAACAAAGACTGACTCAACAACCAATCACAGCAGACTTTGCGTAGGCGGATACAATTTGCAGATAGATAATCTGAACTTCAAGAAACGACCACAAACAGACGAAAGACTAAGTTCAGCGAGAAACCACCAATCAGAAGACTGTGTTTGTTTGCTTACAATAATTTATAACAATTTACATGAAAATATATATATATGTGATGATTTCCTAAATAAACGATCTGTTACCTGGTGCCTGTCTTCTGTTGTTACAGTACTAATACTACTAAAACCTCGAGAAACAAAAAGGTAATATAATTGAGACAAAATTTGATGAGCAATGCTACAAGGGAAATTATATCACAACACATAAGACCTATTAGGATATTTTATTGACGCAATTCACATTGTTTATCTGTAGGTCTAACGGTACTTACTTGCTTACTTTCACCAAACCGGGGTAAGATGTCAAATTTTCGATTTTTTTTCCTATGCCCGCTCCTTTGTGTAGCTAGTTATACGCACAGTAATTTAATGCTCCATACTCACACCCTGCATACAGAACACTAGATCGATGTTAAAACAGCTCCATATTGTGATGAGAGCTAGCTGCAAGCCGAGAATTGTAGACAGTAAGTTACGTCAATGTTCACGTCCCTAATCGGGGTCATGAGGAAAAAAACGATAACAAGGCTTAACCTTGAGGAACTCACCAACCAATCACAGCAGACTTAACATGTGCAAATACGATTCGCAGATATATGACCTGACTGTCTAAAAAACGGCCACAGAATAACCTTCAGCAAGAAAGTGACCAATCAGAAGAGGTGGCTTCTCTGCTAACAATAACGCTAATGATAATTTAAATTTTCCATAGTTTGGTTTGTAAGGGTTAGTTTTGTTTTTACAAGTTGATCACGGATTGATATCAGTTAGAGAATCATTGAAAACCAGGGAGTAGTGAACAGCTGCTGTTTCATCCTAGTTTCAGAATCATCGGAATCATCAATGGTTCCCTAACTGATATCAATCCGTGGTCAACTCGTAAACATAATTTAAATCTTTAAATATTTTCCCATTTTTAATATTAAAACAAGACATATAAGCGAACAATATTGTTTTCAATTAGATCTTTTTCAGGCTTTACTCTAATTTACATAGGTTTATATATAAAAGCTTTTTAACCAATGACGGTGATTTTATGGATCAAATAATAATAATGTGGTAAATGTTTTGAACGTATTTAATAATGGTGATTATAATGACAACAAAATATTGATAATAAGGTGTATGCAGATGGCGATAAGAATAATAAATATGTAGACAATTCAATAAATAAATTCGGTCAAATCTTGAAAATTATGTAATTCCAAAGGTGAGGTGGACAAATAATCAGAGTTTAAATAAGTATCATAAAAGTAGGAAGGAGATGGAAAATAAGAAAGGGTGGGAGGGAATTTGAGAGAACAATCCTAGTCTTTGCATACAACAAGAGAAGTTTGTTCTATCTTTGTCTCTCCTTTGGCCTAGGTGAATTCTATTCAAAATCCTCCCGCCCTTTCTTACTTTCCATCTCCTTCGTACTTATATGATATTTATTTAAACTCTGATTATCTGTCCACCTCACCTTTTAACATTTGACCTAATTTATTTATTTATTGAATCACCTACATATATACATATACTACCATTGTTATTCTTATCGGCACCTGCATAAACCTCATTATCAATATTTTGTTTTCATTATCCTCATCGTTATTAAATACGTTCAAAACATCTCCCGCACTATTATTATTATTTTTAATTGAATTTTAGATTTTCCCGTCGATTGATTGGACCGAAGTGCTCGATCTCAGGTTGACATGTCGGCTTCTTGAGCAGATGCTTCGACGATGTCTGGGCATTTAATTGGTGGATGGTGACTAGCAGTGGAATCCAGTATGTGCATTTCGTCCTATTTGAGACTCGTCTTCCGGATGTACCTGCATTTCTCAGTGAATGATGATCTCTGGGCACTGGGTTCGAGCCTCGGTGGAAAGATCATCATTCACTGAGAAATGCAGGCACATCCGGAAGACGAGTCTCAAATAGGACGAAATGCACATACTGGATTCCACTGCTAGTCACCATCCACCAATTAAATATTATTATTATTTGATCCACAAAATCACCGTCATTGGTTAAAAATTTTTTATATATAAATCTATGTAAATTAGAGTAAAGCCTGAAGATCTAATTGAAAACAACAATATTGTTCGCTTATTTGTCTTGTTCTCATTAAAATTTACATAAAAATCTATATCTCTTGGTTTTCTCAATAAAGGATCTGTTGCCTGGCCTTTGCCTTCGGTCGTTACAATACTACACTACTACTTTATGAGTTCCTTATTTCAGATGCCACGCCGAATAACCAGTCGGAATTCATTCGAATACTTAAAAACTTCATTCAAAACAAGCTTGTACAGCATCTAGTCATTCTCTGAATAAGCATATAATACCGCATAGACGATGACCATTATAATCAATATTTCCTTTGGCCTAGTATTCAGAAACTACTGACAACTAGCAAATTTACGCACTATTTCCCTTCGTTTATTTATTTATCTATTTATTTATTGATCACTGTCTTCTAAGCTATCGATTAGGTAATAAATAACCTGTCACTAGTATTCACAAACTATATAATTATATTGAACTATTTTATTATTATTCAGTTACTGTCTACTTTCTAGTGGTTATTTCTTACCTCTTTCATATCTTGAAATTAGTGCGTATCTATTAGCACTGGTGTGCGTCGATGGTTCGGGGTTCGATCCCTGGCCGACAACGCACTGCTTTTCCTCAACTAAACCAGTAATGCGACTGGTAAAGAGGGAACGTTGGGGAACATGAGGCTAGCAACTCCATCCCGTAAAAATAATAAACACCACTGCTACCGAAACTTCAAGCCTCCAGCTTGAAGCCGCCCTATGTTCCAGCACTGGGAACATAAAGGAATAAAAAGGAATATTAACACTGGTATACAATCCGCGCATAGTTTAGAAGGCATTAATCCACAGCTATTGTTGATAGCAAAAATTGAAACTTGTGCTTCTAAAACTGATATACAGTTTGAAAAAGAAACAATAATGGGAAGAAAGACGACAGATACAATGCATAATAATACTGAACTTACTTACCTACAAGTATTTAGAGTTAAACTTTTCCGCCTTTTACAGCGTAACTCTTCTTCATGTAATCGATCTAGAAGATAGTTCAAGTATTCTGCAGCATCTTGTTGTTCACCAGAGACAAAATGTGCCGGTTTGGTAACAGTTAAAACAGCTCGTAAATCGCGAACAGTTGGGATCTATTGAAATGTAATCAAGTATGGATAAATGTATTACTGCCTCACATTATATATATATATATATATATATATATTCAAGTATTGGTTTTGTAGGGACTTTGTTTGATTAGATGGAGGATTTCATCATCAGCTGACATCAGTTAGAGAACCACTGGAAAACCTGCCAGGGAGGACTGGACAGCTGTTTCGTCCTAGTTTCGGAATCTTCATCAGTACGCACTCACCGGGGTTCGAGCCGAGGACCTTCTGGTTACAATATATACATATATATGTATATAAACCAGTGACAGTTAAACCGAAGCGTGCAAACTAAAACAACCAACATCGGTAATAATGAATAATCTTCGCCGAATAGATCTAGACGATGAAGCATGATAGACTTCTGTTGTATCTGATTGTATCAGGTGAATACCATAGAATAACAGATGACCAACAGCAACAACAAGCACCAATTAGCGTCAACAGAATAAATTTGAAAGAGGTTACTTCCTTCACTTATCCAACCAGGCACCATCCTTTCAATTACAGTCGCTAACAATGAGGATGTCAAAACCAGAATCGGAAAGGCAAGATACACCTTTATCACTGTGAAAACAGTGACGAAGTTTTCTGCACTACGCGGCATAAACAACAAAATTCGGATTTTCAACACTAATGTTAAGACATTTGTAAAAATTATATTTGTAAAATCTCAGCGAGATTGAAATGATTAATTCCAACGTTTCCTGAGTTCGGCAATCTGGTCAGAACTTCTTCAGGGAAATTAATCGAATTAAGATAACAGAGGTTTTAAAAACTTTGTCTAGTCATATGAGTCATGAAACCATCATCAAAATATAATAAACAAAATTGTATGAGCTGTGATCAAAATTTGACCTTAGACTTAAAAATATTAGTCTAATTTTCTTAAACACTTTAAACAGAGTGCACTTTTCATCAGAATTTAAGTGATTACGTTCGATTAAAAGTTCATGATCGCAGATAACTGAATATGAAGAATATATGTGTATGTGCAGTTATACAATGGTGTGTGTCCGCGTGAATGTGTGTAAGGGTAAACAGTTGTAAAACATTTGTTAACCTCTCCATAAGAAGATATAGACAACTGGGAATTTTGACTAGCTATGATTAATTAGCGATACATATCGATTTTTTATTTATTAATCAGGATTTGCCATGTATCAGCTAACATCACACATTCACGTCTGTTCACATTGTTTGGGTTCACCCATATATGTAGGGCCTCTGCAGTCAGTCTTTCTTTATACGAACCAAAACTTTTCTGTTGAACCTTAGGTCTTATCAAAGTCGATTTTGTGTCCCGTTTCTATCGAGCGCACTGTAATTGCTAATCTGTTTTCTAGTTTCTTTAAGTCTGTAAAGGTCTCTGGAACCACCTTTAGACATTGTTTATGCTCTTCCACTCTTATATTTACCTGTCTGGAAGTTTCTTACACATACGGTGTCACAGTCCCCACAATTCATCTGGTACACACAATTCTGTTGGTTTTCTTCTTCTTCTATTTAATCTTTAACCTTCACCAGTGATGAGCGTACACTCTTATGTCATGATTATTAAGGATTCGATTTATTTCATCCGATGTTTCTTTGCGGTAAGGAATCATCGCTGTACTAACCCTATTCTTAGCAACAGGTTTCGATCCATCCTTATCTTTACATTTTTAAATATCTTTTTATGAAGGCTTTGGGATAATTATTTGATTCAAGAGTGGATTGAACCAATTTTAGTTCCCTACTACTGATCTCTTCCTCCTCAGTAACTAGATGTTTGGCTCTGTTAATCAGATTCTTGGCCACAGTAACTTTGATGGTAAACGCATGTGCTGAAAAGTAGTCTATTCGAGTTCGACCACGGATTGATATCAGTCAGAGAACCATTGAAAACCACCACAGAGTACTGGACAGCTGTTTCATCCTAGTTTGGGAATCATCGGCAGTACGCACCCACTGCCAGGTTTCTAACCCATGACCTCCGGTTACAAGGCAAGCTCGTAGACCATTCAGCCACTGAGACGCGATTCAATGTCCAACCCATGAATTCTAACTTCTACCAATTCGTGATTTAGCGCGACCACCAACCAATGTCATCGGCGGGAAATCCATCCTCACACTTAACTGGATGGACCTTACTGGTCACGACTTCTCACTAGAACTCCAGGAAACTCCGTCCTGTAGCAAGTCACTAGCAATGGTTCTCTAACTGATATCAATCCGTGGGCAAACTCGAAAAAGAAACTTAGTCACTAGGCGCCCAATTGTTTTGGAACTATTCGGTCAAATCTTGATCACAGTTCATATGAATTATCAATGTTAAGATAGTTCTTCTATATAGGTCAGAAACTAGGCGCGTCATGGAAAGCATTTCCAACAGCTTGCTGAAGACTTTCATCAAAAGCTGCCTTTTCTCGCTCCATAGTGAATTATTAACAAAAAGACTCTGGAAATGAACCAACCAACAACCCAATCAATGCCCAACAAATTTCCTGAAGAAAATCGAGATGGATCGGACACACGCCACTGAGGAGACCGTCGAATAACACCGCACGCCAGACCAAACCTCGAGTGGAACCCGAATCGAAAGATCGGAGGAGATCGTGTGACAAGGAGGAAGAGATGAAAGCTTGTTAGCAATCGTGGGGTCAGTTGAAGAGGACTGCAGAGAACAGGATGGAATGGAGATGTGTTGTTGGAGCCCTATGTTCCACTCGGAACCCGAGGGAATAACAAAAATAATAATAATAGATGTCTTTTATTCAGACAAAGAAAGTGTTTGAATAAAAGTAAATCAACCATATAACCCAGAAGTACTATGCGATGACTCCAAGTTAAAACGAGTGGCGATCATGTTGCATATTTCCTGTGCTATTGACAACCACGTACAGATAAAACCCTGACTTAACTACACAATTATTATTATTACTATAATTGTTTCCTTTAATTCCTAGAGGAACATAGAACTTCAGCCATGTATCTCCATTACGTTCGGTTCTCTGCTAGAGTCTTCACCTGGCTCCAAGTCTGCCCACACGTTTTCACCCCCTCTTCACATGACCTCCTCCAAGTCACCCTTGGACGGCCAACTCGCCACTTCCCTTTCGGGTTTCACTCGAGCAATGGCTTGTCTAGTGATGTCACTTGATGGTTTCCTCAGAGTATGGCCAATCCATCTCCATTTCTTTCTGCCCATTCGTTTCACAATCGGTTCCTGCTGGGTTGGTTCGCTCCCAGAGATCTTTTTTGCTGATCTTTTCTGGCCATCTGATCTTGAGTATTGAGCGAAGACAACTGTAAATGAAGGTCTGTAGTTCGTTTGAGATGCTCTTTATGACGCGCCATAACTACACAAAAACGCTCATTTGTTGGCTGTTATTCCTGAAGTATCTTTTTCATTGCGAAACGAACTGCAACACTGCATTATTATCATCACTGAACACAGTCTTCGCTTGACACTGAAGACCATATGGTGAACCAGAAAGAATAAGCGACATGGAACTCTGACAGTGCAGAGAATCAGTTAAGAAGTTATTAATCAATAAATATGCTGTAGAGATTGAAGACAGATTGGATACACGCTTGAGAACGCTTGGACTGATAATATCCTACACCAGATCCTCAAGTGGAACATGAATGGGAATCTATGGGTTGGGTTGGCCATCTGAGGTTCATGTGCAAATCATGTGAAGAGGAAATGGAAACTTGTAGACAGTCCATTTGGAACGCAAAGAATGAATAATAACAACAACCTTTTCGATCCTTTTTTTGCCTATAACGTTATGTCATTTTGTTTAGTGCATTTCGCACTCCTCACACTACATCAACTAAGTGTTTAAATAATAATTTTAATAATAATGTGTTGTAAATTCTTTCTGTAGGTAATTTAAATAACACGCTTTAGTCAATGCGAGCCGTTGAACCGACAACTGGTAGCTAATATTGAAAATTCACTGAATTTAATGTGAAGGCTTGGCACCAAACAATCAGACACATGTACTGTGTATGCTCTTTCTATCCAAAACTTGATGGAGTAGAATGTTACTGCTGAATAATTCTAGCAATATTTATGTGGGAAAGCCGACTCATCAACTAACAAAAATCAATGTAATGGTTTATACATTGAAGGTGAAATGAATATCCATGTCACGGTAGGTTTCAAACCACCGGCCTCCAGATTACTAGACTGGTACACTACTGAGTTAACGCATTCAGCCGTTAACCAGGTCATCGTCTCACCGCGATAAGTGAACGATACGTAACCGGCCAGTTATCATTCCACTAGCCGACCAGATGAGTCTTCATTAGTCAGTTCCAATCATACTGAATTAGGAGAGCTTATTGATTGACATGAAATTAATGGTTGTTGTGAAAGCACCTAACTCTTCCAAAAATAAGCACAGCTTAAGTTTCATCTACCCAATTTTAAGCATCCCCTACCACACATTCAAAGCCTTCACAATTCAACATGATAAATAAATATTTCCATCTCTGTCACATGTCAAGTGATCCACAATGGAAAACTCAGCGAGGCGTTTGGAGTAAACACATGAGTCAGACAAGGGTGCTTATTATCACCAATGATATTCCTAACTGTGGTGGACTGGATTATGCATCAGACAGTGGGAAACGAGAAGACAGGGATATCCTGGACCGACGTGAAGAACCTAGAAGACCTGGATTTCGCGGATGACTTATGTCTGATGTCACACAAAATCGAAGACTGTCAAGCGAAAACCGACAAACTGGTCGAAGAAGCAAAAAAACAGGACTCCAGGTGAACATAGACAAGACGGAGGTTATGAAAATAACCAACCAACCAACAACAGCAGCAACATCCAGCGCCAATCACCATCAACGGGAGGGATCTGGAAGAGGTTATTTCATTCACTTATCTAGGGAGCATTGTCTCAACTACAGCAGGAACGGACGAGCATGTCAAATCGAGAATCGGGAAGGCGAGAAACACACTCATCAACCTGAAACCAATCTGGAAATCTTCGTCACTCAGCCTGCATCAACAACAAAATGATTCGGATTTTCAATACAAACGTCAAGTCAGTCAGTTCTTCTATACGGATGGATCAGAAACTTGGCGGGTCACAAAGAATATTTCCAACAGGTTGCAGACCTTCATCAACAACTGTTTTCGTTCTATACTGAAGATTAGATGGCCGGAAAGAATCACCAACAAGAAACTATGGGAACAAACAAAACAAGAACCAATCGCTCAACAAATATGCAGGAGAAAGTGGAGATGGATTGGACACTCGCTGAGGAGGCCCCTGGGTGACATCGCGCGTTAGGCCATCGCTCGAGTGGAACCCGAAAGGGAAGCGGCGAGTGGGACGTCCAAGGGTGACATGGAGGAAATCGTGTGAAGAGGAGTTGAAACAGTATGGACTAACATGGATGCATGTGAAAAGCACAGCAGAAGACAGAAGCAAGTGGAGACGTGCAGTTGAAGCCCTATGTTCCACTAGGAACCCAAGGGAACAATAATAATAATATTGCCATGTGTATTCCTCTTTGAATACGAAAATAAAATTAAGTACGTGCAGTGATCAACTGAATGATGTTACAGTCTGCGAATTAATCAATGTTTTAAAATATTATAAAGTACATTAAAAAAAAGAGAATCAAGTAAAACAATTATTTCATTAACTTACTTGATGTGTATCAAGAGAATGAAAGAGAGAAAATAGATGTGCATGTAAACTTCCTTCATTTCTGAATGACACTGGTTCATTATCCGATCGACGTACATCATCATCATCATCACAGAAATGTGCAGCTTGTAAACTAAGATTATTCGATGAGTTAACATTTGAATTTTGTGAATATGAAGATAGATTTGTTGAAAGTGAAGAACATGAGGTAACTATTTTACTACTTGATGAATATGGCCGGTGAAAATCAAGTAATGCACGACGAAACTCTGAACAGTGATAAAGTAATTGTAAAGCTGCATTTGCATAGCAAGTGTTGCCAACATTCAGTAAGCCGCTATATCCGGTAACGGAACGACTGGCTTTCTAATGAACATAAGAGAAATTAAATAAAAGTATTATTATTTACCGATACCATGACTTAGATAAGTTACACAGAGTAATAGTGTAAGTGTAATCATATCACTAGACTTGCGATCATGACTGATGTTCTGGATGAGAAATAAGTCGGACTGCTTAACATAAAAGGAAGCAACATCCAGTTTTTGAAAAAAAATAAGTTACTAAATAAAGGCTTTCTTTTTGTATTTCCCAATGAATGAAAAGCAAAACGATATTGCCGTTGTTTTTACTGACGTTTTGCTATTTAATGCTGATGCTAATAGCTTTATCAAAGCAGTATTATTAAACCAGAATTTACAAAATCTCAGCTTATATTACATAACAACTTAATCATAGTTCCTCAGCATGGGGGCATTTTTGCGTTGTCAAATTGGTCAATTGGTAAAGATAACAAAACCAAGTGTAGATTGTTGGATTTGATAAGTGTGTAAAATTATAAAAGCAGCGTGTGTTTACATAATGAAATTGCTCATGAAATTCGTGTTTATTTTGTCATTTCATGGGGCAGGGCGGTGGTGTTGTAACCAGGTCAAATTCTGTTTTAGTCCATCATTCAGACTATTCAGACAATTTGGATTCCATTCGATATGAAGTGTTTCTGGTGATATGAGACGTTCATTGTGATTTCTGAAATGCTTTCTCTGGATAATTTCAATATTGTCAAAATCAATTTTGTGGCCTGATTCTATAGCGTGTAGACCACCACCTATGGCTGGCTGATGATTTATGTAGCTTTCCTAGTTCAGCTGAATTTCTTGGTGGTCGAACAGAGTCGGGTCTACGGTGTTTATTTCTTCTGACTTTAATTTCTTGAAATGTGATGCGATATACATCGGATAAACATCGCTAGAGAGAAATCAAAATCAAAAGAAATGAACACCGTAGACCCGCCTCTGTTCGACCACCAAGAAATTCAGCTGAACTAGGAAAGCTACATAAATCATCAGCCAGCCATAGGTGGTGGTCTACACGCTATAGAATCAGGCCACAAAATTGGTTTTAACAATATTGAAATAAACCAGAAAGAGCATTTCAGAAATCACAATGAACGTCTCATATCACCAGAAGCACTTCATATCGAATGGAATCCAAATTGTCTGAATAGTCTGAATGATGGACTAAAACAGAATTTGACCTGGTTACAACACCACCGCCCTGCCCCATGAAATGACAAAATAAACACGAATTTCATGAGCAATTTCATTATGTAAACACACGCTGCTTTTATAATTTTACACACTTATCAAATCCAACAATCTACACTTGGTTTTGTTATCTTTACCAATTGACCAATTTGACAACGCAAAAATGCCCCCATGCTGAGGAACGATGATTAAGTTGTTATGTAATATAAGCTGAGATTTTGTAAATTCTGGTTTAATAATACTGCTTTGATAAAGCTATTAGCATCAGCATTAAATAGCGAAACGTCAGTAAAAACAACGGCAATATCGTTTTGTTTTTCATTCATTGGGAAATACAAAAAGAAAACCTTTATTATAATGAATTTCATATACCCAATGCCTAAATTTTTTTTCAAACTGTTACAAATGAACTTGGTTTGAACATATATAAAAATAGTTACTGTTGTATACTTGCCAAGTCTGTTGCCTGAAAGATAATTTACAGGAAGTTTAGGAACTACCATCTCCATTCAACCTAATATCAAGCAATAATAACGACTAACCTTTAGATTCTAAACTATTTTATATGCAGATGGTTAAAAGGAATCAAGAACATTTGAGTCAACAGAATAATTTACCTTACTGGGGTAATACATAGCTACTTGATTGGTTGCAACAAATCTTTAACTCAAATGAAAGCCAGTAGAATTTTCTACAGAGACCAACATAACTTCATAATAGTGAAGATCAAATATTGCATCAATGAATTAATATGAAAATGCCCTAAAGCATATAAAGCAGTTACCGGCATCGTCTAAGAATCTTTCTTACATTCCATAATGGATAAGATTTTATTTTGATAAATCACACAGTGTAGTACAGTTATATTAACTGATGACGTTTCGAGCACAAACTATTGCTCATAATCATATCAAGTTACTCACACAACTTCTTTCCTTCATTTATATACATGTGTGGAATCGACTAGATATTGGAATAAAATTCAATATGAGATAATGTACATTCAGAAATAATAGTACGAGTGTTATTAATCCATTGCAATTAGATGGGAAATACGACGAGTGTTTTTATAGTCATGATAAGTTGATTGTTAGAATGTGTTGATGTGTTTGAATGGAAATAGAATTTTAAGATTATTTATCATCTTCTTCTGATTTGACTGGTGGCAATAATACGAGTGTTATTAATCCATTGCAATTAGATGGGAAATACGACGAGTGTTTTTATAGTCATAATAAGTTGATTGTTAGAATGTGTTGATGTGTTTGAATGGAATTAGAATTTTAAGACTATTTATCATCTTCTTCTGATTTGACTGGCGGTAATAATATCTTCCATATTTCTGGTATTTGCGTTGAGTCACTTCTGTTGCATGTGTTGGGTGTAGACTCGATGAATAAGGATTCCGTAATCAACCTCTCTTTCCACCTACCTATATTACGTTTTAGAATTTTAACCCTATCCCACCCTATTGTGTGGTTGTTTGCTATTGCGTGAAGTGCAATAGCTGAGCTTTTTTCTAAATTACTTATCTTTTCAGGGTCAATCATTTTCCCTTTAGCTAAATTCTTATGTTCTGATAATCTGACTATCCCTGACCTACTAGTTTGACCTATGTAGTTGACTTCACAGTCGTTGCAAGGTATTTTGTAAATTATATTATTTTGTTTAATTGGGTCCAACGGGTCCTTTAACCTACAAAGTTTGTCTCTGAGTGAGTTTGTTGGTTTGAATGCCACCCTAATTCCTGCTTTATTGAGAATCCTACGTAGGGCCTCAGATGTCCCCTCCTTATATGGTATAACAGTAGAAGACTTATATTCTCTCTTATTTATGTTATTACTACTAGTTACACAATTATTTTTATTTTGTTTTTGGCCTTTACTGATCTTCTTAATGAATTTTATAGGATAGTTATTCAACACCAACGCTTCTTCTATCTGTTTTATTTCGTCATTTAGGTCCTTTTTTGTGCTACTTAGTGCTATGGCTCGGTTTGTCAGACACTTAACCAAGCCTGCCTTAACAGTTAACGGATGAGACGAATTAAAGTCTAAATATCTATTAGAATGCGTTGGTTTTCTATAAACACTAGTGTGTAGTTTGCCTTCTTCTATTCGTTTTATCTTACAATCTAACATGGTTAATTCTCCTTGTTCATTTTCTGATTCAAATGTGAATTTTATTCCTTCTACTTGTGAGTTTATATGTGTTAAGAAGCTAGAGATATGTTCTGTTTTTAACACTGTGAATGTGTCATCTACATATCTCCACCATATTTTTGGCCTAGGATTAAATGCATTGAGAGCCCTATTTTCCCAGCTGTCCATAAAGATGTCTGCTACAATAGGTGATATTGGTGATCCCATTGCTACACCTTCTGTTTGTCTATATATTTTGCCTTGGAACTTGAAGATAGTAGATGTGAGGCATAGCTGAATCCCTAAAATAATTTCTTCAATGGACAGCTTTGTCCTATGATTGAGTTCAGTATCCGCAGTTAGTTCTTTTTTAACTGCTTCTAAGGCCAGTCAAATCAGAAGAAGATGATAAATAGTCTTAAAATTCTAATTCCATTCAAACACATCAACACATTCTAACAATCAACTTATTATGACTATAAAAACACTCGTCGTATTTCCCATCTAATTGCAATGGATTAATAACACTCGTATTATTGCCACCAGTCAAATCAGAAGAAGATGATAAATAATCTTAAAATTCTATTTCCATTCAAACACATCAACACATTCTAACAATCAACTTATCATGACTATAAAAACACTCGTCGTATTTCCCATCTAATTGCAATGGATTAATAACACTCGTACTATTATTTCTGAATGTACATTATCTCATATTGAATTTTATTCCAATATCTAGTCGATTCCACACATGTATATAAATGAAGGAAAGAAGTTGTGTGAGTAACTTGATATGATTATGAGCAATAGTTTGTGCTCGAAACGTCATCAGTTAATATAACTGTACTACACTGTGTGATTTATCAAAATAAAATCTTATCCATTATGGAATTATACTCTACCACAGTGCCCAAGTTTTATACTTATATCAATAATACATATGGTCTTCCTACTAGGAAGCTTATCAATAAACTCACACGACTTTCTCAAACAGAAGCAAGATTCACGAACCATCGGATTTTCAACAGTCGATGTTTGAAAAATCATATAACTCCAAAATATTTACACATACGCACTCCAATTACTTCAACAAAAATATCATCAGCCTCTGAACATCTCAGTAGATTATGTTTAAGAGAAGAACTACATCGAATTACTGTGAAACTCAATAATATACGAAATGAAATCGAAAAACTCAAACGGAAACTCAAATGTATGGTCAATGACAAAGATTATGCAATTGTTGTTGAAACATCCGAAAAAGCTAGAGAATCAGCATCAAGAAAATCAAAAGCCACACAAATCAAAAAATTCAACAAACTAATTGAAGAAAGGAACACAGCAAATAAAATTGATGTCAACGCTTCATCCTCTATCGACAGAACAAAGTGGGTGATCAACCTCTCATCAAAGGAACTAAGCTCTAGTGAGATAAAAGTACTTGAGAAAGGACTAAATTTCAATGTAACAGTTAACAAATTAAAACCAGAGGATGTCATTCCTAGCATAGAAGTAGCGCTAGGTTCAATAGATAAGACAACAGCAGAAGGGGTTCGAGCACAATGTGCATTAACCCTGAAAAATCAAAAGAAGGCAAAATCAAACTTAACAAAATTGGAAAGAGAAGCTTTAATTAGTCTAAAACAGGATAAAAATATTGTCATTGCAAAAGCTGATAAAGGAAACGCCACCGTAGTTCTGAATAAATCTGACTATATCAAGAAAGTTATTGAACATATTCAAACGGGTCCATATAAGGAAATTAAGAAGCCTGTAGATACAATAATGAATAAGGTTAAGAAATCTACAGCAGACCTAATACGCAGAATGAAGCCGTCACTGGGTGAGTCTAAATGGTTTAATTTAATGCCTAAAACTAATAATGCTAGTAGATTATATGGTACTATTAAAATACATAAGCCAGGATACCCAATAAGGCCAATAGTAGATTTTAGAAATACCCCAACTTATGAATTATCAAAACACTTAGCTTTAATACTATGCCCTATCCGAAATAATTCAAACTCTAGATTAACTAATTCATATGAGATGAAAAGTAAACTAAATGACATTCAACTAGCGAATGACGAAACAATGGTCAGTTTTGATATAACCAGTCTTTATACTAACATACCAGTCAATATGGCCTTAGAAGCAGTTAAAAAAGAACTAACTGCGGATACTGAACTCAATCATAGGACAAAGCTGTCCATTGAAGAAATTATTTTAGGGATTCAGCTATGCCTCACATCTACTATCTTCAAGTTCCAAGGCAAAATATATAGACAAACAGAAGGTGTAGCAATGGGATCACCAATATCCCCTATTGTAGCAGACATCTTTATGGACAGCTGGGAAAATAGGGCTCTCAATGCATTTAATCCTAGGCCAAAAATATGGTGGAGATATGTAGATGACACATTCACAGTGTTAAAAACAGAACATATCTCTAGCTTCTTAACACATATAAACTCACAAGTAGAAGGAATAAAATTCACATTTGAATCAGAAAATGAACAAGGAGAATTAACCATGTTAGATTGTAAGATAAAACGAATAGAAGAAGGCAAACTACACACTAGTGTTTATAGAAAACCAACGCATTCTAATAGATATTTAGACTTTAATTCGTCTCATCCGTTAACTGTTAAGGCAGGCTTGGTTAAGTGTCTGACAAACCGAGCCATAGCACTAAGTAGCACAAAAAAGGACCTAAATGACGAAATAAAACAGATAGAAGAAGCGTTGGTGTTGAATAACTATCCTATAAAATTCATTAAGAAGATCAGTAAAGGCCAAAAACAAAATAAAAATAATTGTGTAACTAGTAGTAATAACATAAATAAGAGAGAATATAAGTCTTCTACTGTTATACCATATAAGGAGGGGACATCTGAGGCCCTACGTAGGATTCTCAATAAAGCAGGAATTAGGGTGGCATTCAAACCAACAAACTCACTCAGAGACAAACTTTGTAGGTTAAAGGACCCGTTGGACCCAATTAAACAAAATAATATAATTTACAAAATACCTTGCAACGACTGTGAAGTCAACTACATAGGTCAAACTAGTAGGTCAGGGATAGTCAGATTATCAGAACATAAGAATTTAGCTAAAGGGAAAATGATTGACCCTGAAAAGATAAGTAATTTAGAAAAAAGCTCAGCTATTGCACTTCACGCAATAGCAAACAACCACACAATAGGGTGGGATAGGGTTAAAATTCTAAAACGTAATATAGGTAGGTGGAAAGAGAGGTTGATTACGGAATCCTTATTCATCGAGTCTACACCCAACACATGCAACAGAAGTGACTCAATGCAAATACCAGAAATATGGAAGATATTATTACCGCCAGTCAAATCAGAAGAAGATGATAAATAGTCTTAAAATTCTAATTCCATTCAAACACATCAACACATTCTAACAATCAACTTATTATGACTATAAAAACACTCGTCGTATTTCCCATCTAATTGCAATGGATTAATAACACTCGTATTATTGCCACCAGTCAAATCAGAAGAAGATGATAAATAATCTTAAAATTCTATTTCCATTCAAACACATCAACACATTCTAACAATCAACTTATCATGACTATAAAAACACTCGTCGTATTTCCCATCTAATTGCAATGGATTAATAACACTCGTACTATTATTTCTGAATGTACATTATCTCATATTGAATTTTATTCCAATATCTAGTCGATTCCACACATGTATATAAATGAAGGAAAGAAGTTGTGTGAGTAACTTGATATGATTATGAGCAATAGTTTGTGCTCGAAACGTCATCAGTTAATATAACTGTACTACACTGTGTGATTTATCAAAATAAAATCTTATCCATTATGGAATTATACTCTACCACAGTGCCCAAGTTTTATACTTATATCAATAATCTTTCTTACACTATGCTGGGTCTGAGGGCTAAGTCGTACAGCTGGGGAACAGGGATGTAACAGCAGTAAGGTTTTTCCCTCAGATGACCAGCACGCCAGCCACCTATACTGTCTCTCCACTCCGGAGCGAGGGGGTTAGAAAAGGTCGACCCCAAAAATTTTACATACCGACTTACCCTAAGGTAGTCCGTAACCGGCGGTAAGTTTACTAATACGGAACCAATCCCAGAAACCAGTTCATACAGGCCGTGTGTGACCGGCCTCAAGCAGTTGTCCCTGGGCTCTGCAGTCACACAACACTAACCCTCTGTTTCAGGTACCCGAAGAACTAATCAACTTCCACGGTGTGGGCAGCCGGGAAGTAACAACCACCCACACACTTCCAAGAGCACACGAAGCTTTCCTGAGTATCATTCTCCTTTAGTTACTTTTAGGAATTGATTCTCACTTTCTTCATGTATAAATTAGCAAAAACTGCGGCAAAAGCACATATTTCTAATTGACTGCAAGTGACAACGGATACGAAAAGTGTATATTATACGCCTTTTCGTTGACTATGCTTTTGATGCGTTAACAGAATTTTGGTCGTAACCTTGGCTCTTTCGCGAAGATAAACTGAATATTTCTACTTTGTGTCAGCTACTGTGTAGTAACTGCATCTCTGAATCATTAATTTAGGAGCTAGATTTGTGCTATAACTACTGATATTTGAGGAATGGGGCTGGATTATTGTCAGTCATTCATATAGAAAGCACTGTTCACAGCCTAACCCTATTGCACTTGGCTACTCAGCGGCATTTTCGATTACTAACATATCTAGCAAAATCGTCATCTTAATTCGGCACATGAAGCTTTGAAACTTAATGTCATATTAAAAGGTATACAACATGAACAAGCGGTGACCATAACAAAAATCAAAAATTCGAGCAAAATTCTCACCTGTGAAATGCTTGGATATGTGTTTGTCAGCTGAACACTTGAAGTTAAATCCCAACGTTCCCAAATCTTTCTAATACGAATGCCAGCTTGAGATGCAAACTTAGTCAGTACTTCTAGTTTATATATATTCGAACGTGAATCCCATACATCAACATCATCATCTTTGAAGTTACTATGAAATTTTCCCAATAGGTCAGTAAGAAATTTTCTGTTGACAGCAGATGCTTTAGACAGATGACTTTCTGAAGTAACCATAACATTCAGCAGTCTTGAAACAGCATAAAGTCGGAGTAAGATATCTCTGTAGGTTTCATTTAGACGATCAGAAGCATGCATGCTAATAAGTTTATTCAAAACTGGTGCCAGCTGAGAAACAGTATCATAAACACATCTATCACGCCTGCCTTCTTCACAAAGGATGAGAAATGCCAAGACATTTATGGTCGACTCATGTGGAAGCTGTGATCGATTCATAAGTTCCAGAAGGAATTTCAGTTGCCAATTAATGAATTCTGACCAAAAATTGACAGAAAACTGTGAACTCTTTGGAGAAAATCTTCTGAACATTTCACACTGGAATCCAATGAGCCAAATATCCAGTGCAGATCGATGTGTAGTAATCTCAGGCCAAGTGAGCCAAGCAGTCAAACGGCGCAATACTGCAAAGCAAGACTCAATGGTGTTGATGTGACGCTGACTGAGTTGATCAATAAACCCGCAAATGGTTTCTGATAATACTGCATTATCAGGGCAGAAATTTTGGAGTTCAGACAAAATGGAAGAAACCGAAATATAATGGTAAGTGTTATTAGTATCCACAAGCACATCTTGTACGAGGGAATTAACATGTTCTGAAAGCACACAAGTGTTAAGTTTGGAAGAGACTGAAAGCTTAGGCTGTGCTGCAAACTTGATAATTGAACGTGAGATGCACTGAGCAAGTTCAGCTTCTAGTGAATTACATGAAATATTTTCCAGAAATACTTGTGAGCAAAGACCAAGTAATATTTGAAACATTCTAGACACTAGATCAAGGTAAGTTTCGTCAGGGATATCATATGCACCCGATTCATGAGTTAATAAATTGTCAAGTGTATGCTGAATACATAAATACAATTGCTCATCATTATCCATAAGATTGTATTTTAAAACAGTATCAAATCCTGCATATAATGATATCAGCTGTCTTGTGTCTCTTACAAATGACTGGAAACAAACCATAACGTGCCGCTTGAAAATATTTTTTAAGTAACCGGATAAAATTCCGGGAAGTGAATCAGGGATATTATGACCAAACGAATCTGTAACCTTTTGAGAAACATAGGCTATAGACTCATCTGAAAGGTGGGCTTCGATCGAAACTAGAAGACCATATACCTCATTAAAAAACGAATTAGAAATCCCAGGATTTTCATGAATGTATGTTATACAAATTATTACAGCATCTTTGAGACAATCTGTATTATCGATTTTACCCACATGATCCCGCAGCTTTCTCAGAAGCAAAATCTTAATACTTTCAGGATGATCACTGATAAGTACGCCGGTAATTAATTTGTCCATCGCTACTGATGACGTTCTCAATTATGTCTACAAGCCCAATTACAAACATGCAAACCCATTCGCAGCCGTTGCACTCCCGTTTGAAAGTGCCAACCATAAACTCAACAACCTTGAGACATAGTAACGAAATCGAATGCAGATTCAGATTTCAGATCTTTAGTTAAAGGAAGAGAACTTGGAACGTATTTTATTCCTTTTCCATTGGTCCATACCTATGTTCTGTTCCCTTCTTGACCGAGAGAGATAGTACACCGAAGTGATCATCAACTAACTTATGTAAAGTCTGCTTACTGTCATTTTTCCATTACCTTTCCCCTATATATATATATATATCCTGTGTCAGTGAAAAATTGTAAACATGCTTACTCCATGTATACATTATTATCATATTGATGACGCCTGTAAACTGCAGTCCCTCATATACGAAAAGTGAGAGTATTTTATCATAAGATCCATTTCATTGTTATATGAGGGAATTGACTACAAGCTTTATTTATTTTTCCAAGTATCTGTAATCCATCCAACACATACTTGGGTTTTCTTGCTGATACGAAGTCAACATTTCTATAATTCTTGATGTGCTCGATTGAATCGTTAGTTATCAAATTGTTCCCACATACTAAAGACAAAATGACAGCAACCATGTAATTTCACCATAAACTAAATTTGTATAATTTAAATGATACTTATCGATACCTGTACAACTGGTGTGTCCCACACAGGTAGGAATAGATATGTATTTTATTATATTATTATTAAATATGCTTACTAATCGTATATGTAATTTATCATATTGATGATGCATGTAAACTGGAGCCCCTCATATACAAAATGGAATATATTATTATCATAAGTGATAGTAGAGCGCATCGTCGACTTTCTTTAGGTCAGAAGACACTAAGTCAATGTTGATGAGAACTTGCCGTCGTAACGACCAGTGGAAAATTGCTCTCCTCAATGTATGACTCCAGACTGCCCCCTCCTATCATATGTAAATGAGCTATCGTTGATAATTAAGTCACCTCGTCCGATGTCAACCCATCATATTAAGATCTGAAAGGCTTTACGCAATGATAGGGATTGATTTATGTGGTAGAAATATTTGGATTCATAAGCTGAACAGATAAAATCTGCAAGTAAGCATGCAGTTGCGCGTGTTTCTCTACATGACTTGCACAACTACACATTAAGTGACTTCACTCTGCAAAACAGCCACCGAACATAAGCATTTAGGATTGCCTGAGGATCACTGCATGAAGACAGTAGTAGACTGTGAAGCCATAGGGTCTTTGTAAGCCTTGCTTTTGATTTATTTCGTGTGTTAAGTCTGACATATTACAAACCTGAAATGAAATATGGAAGAAAGAAACTGAAATCAGATAAGAAACAAAATACCAGGAATTTCAACAATGAGGATTAAGTTGACCGACTGTCGAAAGTTTCATATAAAAGGATGACTATGCAAGATCACCATGTAGTTGAAGGGGACCGGATAGTCTGATCAGTTCAAAATTCTACCAGAGCAGAGTAGTCCATCCGTCGGCGTATATTGCTGTAACTTCAATTTTACTTGCCTTGCAACACATTAGATCACCCAATAGAGAAGGCTGTCGGTCAAAGATTAGGCCCACACAAACTAGATAAACAGGCCGATACTATTGGTATCAATGCCAGTTTGGTGCAGAGTCAACAGAATGCACAAAACCGGGCGTCTGGTCCAAACTAACTGACAAACAACGGGGAGACGATCAACCTCTTTAGAGGTAACGACTACTGGGGAGGGTTGTCCAAACAGTTGCCTATTCTACGTCAAGGATAAAGAAGACCCAGATTGCGACGTTAAGGGAGAAAACACTGGCGCTCGACCTCGAGTTCAAGCGAAAGACCCCATAGGTGTTCACTATTGCTGACTTGGGCCTATAAATTCTCAGCATAGACTTCCTAGAAAGGTATGACTTATTAGTGGACACCTGAGAAGGAAGTTTAACAATTGAAGAAACATCTTGGCATGCGCATGAAGTGTCGAGCATCATTTGTTGAATCTAGTCCAATCTCCATCAGTATCAACCGAAAGGTTCCGAAAAATTTCAGAGGATCTCTCAGCCCTAACTCCAACCAAACCCCAAAACTATAGGCTTGCCTCAGAAATTACTCGTACTTCAAGGACACATGACCCCGGAAAGCGAAATGTTAGTTCGACTGCACGCTTCTTCTTGTGTCTATTCAACCGCACTACGGTCAGTAGGCGTTTCAGAAACCGGGTTTTCTATCGAAACGATTACTCAAATTACATCAGCCTCCCCTAAAAACGGCTTCTGGAAGGACGCCGATCCGATTAGGCCATGTTCCGGAGATATTCTAGGGTCTTCTATCGACTGTCCGTGTTTTTCAGTGTATAGTTTAGACTTGGGCTCGACCAGAGCCAGCTATCGAATCGTTACTATGGATCCCAAAAACATGGAGCTGCCTAATATACGTGGTACGTCTATTTTGACAGTCTTCTACAATATTACAAGCTGTTGGTCTGTAATTTGAATAATTCTCTGAATAGGGAAAGCGGTTTTTGACAGTAAACGCACTTAGCACGTTAGCCTGTCCAGAATGGGAGAGAACTTATTCATGAGGAAGTTGGCCAGCTTGGTAGGCTGACCATGGGGTGTATCTTTCTGAAACTTAATAATTCAACCCGTCTTGGATAAGTGCAACTGGTGGTTGGTTTACGAGTAAGTTCCCAGACTTGTTGCTTCCACCTCCTGACATCAGCAGACGTTTCTTTACAGCATGAGAGTCAGCTAACAAGTTGACCTGAGGCAGATTATAGTCTGCCACAATTACTTTGGAATTTGCAGCATGCGAGGAGATATGAGTAGATAACTTAGTGGCAAATGCACCGGTTTTACAAAGTCAACAAATGCTCAGTACAGACGACCAATGACAGTGGGGTGTCTGTCACCACTTAAAACAGCCATAAAAAATCAGGTAATGCGTTCAGTATTTTGGCCTAAGTGTTTTTAACTATAAGTGGATTATATAAGCTATCCTACAGGATATCTGTGGTCTTCGCTTGTGCAGTAGAGTGTGTAGTCTTCCGCTAATAAATCTACATCGGAGATTCAGAGTGAACATCAAGATTCCGCTATCAGTCACACAGTGGGTCTAGTAATTAAAACTATTGTTCTTGAATCGGATACTTCTCTTATTAGGAAGGTGTTTTGATTAGGGAAAGCGCGAATGTATTCCAACAACTTATACGTGGACTTGCAACATCACTTAGACCTGATTCTATGTACTCGTTCGCCTATACTAAGACTATGGGTTCTGTGAAAGTTGTGTCACGCTAGCAAGTAGTGTTAGCTTAGGCAGACAGGGAAAGTCACAATTAACTACTCCTTAATCTACAGGGTAGTTTCACTGATCAGTTCTTAAAATATCATTCTAGGTTCCATAATCTGTGTTAACAGGCTAACGTATTTCCGGATTTTTCTTAGTGATAGAATGGTTGGTTTAAGGAAAAATTTCCCTGACCAAAAGGACTGGAAGTGCAGTGCTAGCGTTACATGGCGAGTCTACAGTGAATTTAGGCCTTCTAAGTAGTGAGCTTATAGGGTTATAGTAACTGACTCTACAGTCTTTAAAATACTTGCAATCCACTAGTGTGTTGTCCATTCCTACTTGTATCCAACAAGAATGTGTATTCGTGGCGTAGTTTCAGTATGACAGCCGCAGATCTACTCTGGAGGACAGCGAATTAGTGGTTGCATCATCAGCGTGGAATTCCGACAGCGTTTTGGTTGAGTTCTTGTATCCAGGGGTAAAGAGGAATAATTCTGGATTAACAGGGTAGTAATATCTACACATCCAACTGTTAAACAGCAGATGGTCTAGTACCATGTTGTAATCGTATTATGATGGGCGAAGCCGTTTATAAAGTAGGAATTTGGTGTCATTGTGGTGTAGACGTCCACAAGATAGGTTAGGCTGATAAATGAAGCCAGTGCACCCATTCAATAAGTAACTTCTGACATTTCACATGGGTTATTCATCATGCCTCTAGAATATTTTTGCAGTAAAAGATCTCACTCTATTACCAAATACAAAGTGCCTGGATTTACATTACACTGTATCAGACTTACTATTTTGATATCTTCAAGGAAAACTGAAGCCACAGAGTAACTAACATCCAGGTCTATTTCGCGTTGTGATAGCAATCTAGGAAACTAATTAATTAGGTTGTTTGCACATACTCGAGATCGGTTCCACGCCTATGACTGCTGCGTGGCTATCAGTCCTGCTGGACCCGAGCGCTAGCCTTGCTACCTGCTGGCTCTTAAGCATGACCCACAGCCTGGTGGTCGGGCTGCTCTTAGCACCGTCCAAGTTAGTGAGGAATAATATAACACTTGCGGCTGCTGAAAGCAATATTTACTGACGATGGTTAGAAGAGAGTGTACAAGTAGACAATCACACTACAATGAAGCTGCCGAGCTCTCGTCCCTTGAAAATTACATCCACCATCATTTCCTTAAATCCTCAGGGATAAATAAAGTGATCGCTGACGGTGAATCTGCTGAGGTTCGATTGAAACGATGATATTCTCTAACCCCCATACCAGCAGTCCTGGTGGTGCTTACAACTAATAGCCGATGAGTTTCAGGTGGGTAGAAGACCGTTCCCAAGTTGTGAAATTCGCAAATAATTACTCGTCGCCCAGACCTTTATGAAGTAGAGTGATTCAGGGTAGTGTACTAGGTCCACCGCTTTTCGTAATTTTCGTTAACGACATCTGCAGTGTAATCAAGCATGGTACCCCGTAATTCTTTGCTAACGACTTGAAGATTGTATACAGCTCCCCCTATTCTACTCTGAACGAGGGATTCACACATATTCAAGATGATCTGGAAGGGTTACATAACTGGAGCAATGACTGGCAACTGCCATTCAATTCTGACAACTGTGGTGTCTTATGCTTCAATAACTCCCATCCAAATTTCAGGTTACACCTGGGTGACTCTTCTCTTCAAAACCTTAATTCCATAAATGACCTGGGAGTTACCTACTCACAAAACTTAACATTCAGTCAGTACGCAAAATCAGTTGTTTCTAAATGCCG